GGTGAGAGAAAACAGACAAAGAGCCACTTTATAGATTCTGTGAGAGTTCAGAAGGATTTCTGATTTAAATATGGTCAAAAAAAAAGAAAAAAAGAAGCATACTCTTGCCAGGTCCAGGTCGGCCTGTTTGCGATGCCTCCAGAACAAGACGGATGATCCAGAATGTGGTCTGGTTACAGGTTCTCCATACACCAACAGGCGTATTAGAACTCCTGATACCAGAATACCATTCAGTAGCCACACCAGTATAGTCGGGAGCATCCAATCCATCCAGCCCCACGAGTCACCTATAAACAACACAGAGTGTTATTTAATTGCAAAGAAAATCTATTTATTGAGAGCTAATTATGTGAAATTTGAATCACTGCCATCTGTCTCCCTCCCAGCATTTTCCCCCACTCTGTACCTGCGACATCCACACCCAGGACGGTCCTGCCCGCGTGATGGGTGCTTACAGCTTCAGTATTTCCAGATGAGCTGCTACCCGATGAACAGAACAGAGCAGCCAAAGGGTTGAGTGAGAGGAAGAGAAAGGTAAAGGTGCACAACGCCATACGGGAACGGTCCAACATGCCAACGGCACTGCCACCTGCTGTCGACTGGTCCGGCGTGCCTATATTTGGCTGACACACGAGAGAATCCAGAAGGACACATTTGTGATTATTCAGTTTATTAATTCAGGCAGCAACATCAATCTGACAAAAAGTATGAGTAATTACATTTTTGAGGTGTTATAGTGGTTGATTAATAGTTGAGCGCTGTACACAAGCTGTCAAGCATCACGGGTGTTCATGGAGAATTTTTTCGCAGCCAAAAGAATCACGTTTGTATTTTTTTTTTTTTTGTCCATTAAGACTGACAGTTGCAGTGTGGTCAAGGTTTCTGTTGGTAACAGTTTCCTAGATTGTTCATGGGAGCGCCTGTGAAGGAAGTTTACTAAGGTTTTCTTTGAGGTGCTTTAAGCCGTCACCATGGCACCGACCAAACTCCAATTCACAAAAATCAGCTGATGCCAAATTTTATCACCAGAGCACATTTGGGTTAAAGGAAGAAATAGGCCGAGTCCGTGTGACGTCACTCCTGCCGTGATGTCACTCCAGCAAGCACACACGCAAGGCAATGGCGGTGTGACGAGCCAAAAGCAGACTCAGGCGAGCTCACACTTTCAGAGCTCGGCACAGACAATGTTCTCTCCCACGTTTGTAGTGCAAAATGCAAAGCTGGAAACGGCAATGCATCTAATCTGAGGAAACGCCTGGTCAAACGCAAAACACAGCTCGAAGAATGCACCAGATCTGATAGCCCGAAAGCCAAATTCACAATCACTGCAGCTTAATTTAGCACATCTGTCACCAGTGTAGAAGAGTGTGAACCAATGGATGATGACGATGATGAAAAATCTTCGTCAGGTAATTAATTAGTAAGTCGGACACGTTGCACGCAAAAAAACCGGACTTTTTTTCACTGTGTTGTTTGACATTTTAACTCACGTGCGGTTTACGGTAAACATGCACGTCATGTGAGATTGTATATCCAAAGCATTGGTAGATAATCGCAACTAATTATAGCTTAGAATTAATATTAAATGTGTTATAATAATAATAATAATAATAATAATAATAATA